TGTGATTTTTCCCGCATCAGTAGCATCATCTGACTCATTTGAGATTGTAACATCTCCATGTCCCTCCTATGATCAATGTCTCTTCTCCTCATCTCCTCGACTATCGTCTCCATGTCCATTCGTAGTTTTTCTTGTGGCATTAATTCCTGGTCAGACAAACCAGATGCTACTAAGTCCGTTCCGATGTTAAGTCTATCCATATCTGGACCCGTTACCAGTTCTTCAAATCCCTGCGCTGATTTGAATGAGATCCTACTTTGACAACTTGATCGTCCAGAGCTAGATGCCTCGTCTGTTGATGTTGATGGTAGAGCAAACATTGGCATCAACTTCCTGTACAACCTAAACTTGATTTAGGTGCTTATTGATTAACACCTTTGATTATAGGATGCCCTAAGTCACTGTCAACTAGGACTGCGGTATACTTAATGACGGGCAAATGATGAATTGATACAGTTTATATTGTGATAGGAACCCCGAGTTGGTGATGATAATGTCGATTTAATAAACTGTATAAAGAAGAAAGAGAAATCTAGCTACAACTAACAGGTATTTATAATATTCAGCCCCTCAGTGATTGTCTTGACTGATTTCTTCACTCTAGGCCGAATACTTGCCACCCAGCCACATATTATCAAGAATCACTACGCTGTGACACTGATCTGGCCCCTTGGCTGGTAGTGCCGTATCTTCCAGTTTCCTCTATCATTTCCTTACAGTCTTACAACATGAATCTTCAACAATACGCTTAGGTATCCACATAAGCTCAGACAACGGCCAAACCGTAACAGTACCTTCGCACATTTGACATTTGCACCTTCGACCTTCGTAACTTTGTAACCTCGAACCTTTGATAATTTGTCTTCGTCGAAATCGACTCGACCTCTGCAGCTTAACAGCTTCGAAAATCCGCCAATAAGTAGATTCATAACATCACGAGATTCTTTCATTGCATCTACAAAGAAAAGTATGTGTATGGCGTGACAAAGATGGCCGGCAAGGTCCCTACAAGATCGGGACCAACGGCCATGATATAACTCTTGACATGGTCAATGGCTCAACAACCTTTAGATGAATGGTGGTTCAGCCATATTACCGGAACTCCGGTGAACGTGAAAACTTAGAACCTCAAAATCATCTCGAAGATCAATCCAGTGATGATTTTCAGCCTAAAATTCCGATTATGAAGCCTCAGCCACGCAAAAGAGGTCGTCCCTTGGGCTTAAAGAACAAGTCGAAGAATGTAAGTGCGGCATACGTGACCAAAAAAGAGGAAGATGACTATGCTCTAGCTATCAAGTTGAGAAACAATGGTGTAATCACGTCACCTGAACCTCCGTTCGAAGAGTCGGATTCAAATGAGATAAATGATCTAATCAGTCGTGGTGTATTCAAATTTGAGCTACTTAACAGCAAGATCCATGGAAACCACCGAATTTTAAACTCACGAATGGTACGTGAGGTTAAAGGCAAGACAACCAAAACCTATGAAAAGTCTCGCTTTGTCGTACAAGGGTACAATGATCAAGCTTAAAGTACCATCCTGACGCAGTCGCCAACTATCCAGCAAATGAGCCAACGTTCGATCCTTGCTCTCGCCCCTTCATTAATGATGAAAGGAATTTTCATCGCAATCAGGGATATCACATAGGCTTTCCCTCAATTATATACCAATCTCTCCCGTGTCATCTTAGCAAACCTGCCCTCGGAACTTCAAACAAAGTACCCTGAATGAACTATTATTCGTGTCATTAAGACTCTGTATGGAATTGCAGAAGCAGGTGTTCACTGGTTCTCGACTTACCAAGGTCACCATAGGAAACTGCTAGACATGTCCACTTCGACATTCGATCAATGTCTGCTCATTAAAAATGAGGAAGCAGATCAATTTGGTATTGTGGGAATACAGACAGATGATACCCTCATGTTATGCACAGAATCTTTTTCTGCAACAGAGGAGGAGAAACTCACTGAAGCTCAATTCCGAGCAAAACCTATGTGATTCTATCAGCCGAAACACCTTTATACTTCAATGGAGCAAGAGTTATCTTTGAAAATAACGCAATTATCCTCAAACAGAAAGGACAGGGACTTAAACTCAACTTGGTCACTAACAAGGTATTAGATCGAAATCAGAGGTATATTGAGCAACGTGCCCGAGGAGCGTATATTGCCTCCATATGTCAGCCCGAAGCAGCTTTCGATATTTCGGTAGTAGCACAAGCCACAGATCCGGAGGTGGAATACACCACTTTAAACCGTCGACTAAAATGGCAAATAGAGAACATATAGCGTGGATTACGCTTCGTTCCAATTAACTTGGCCACGGCTAAGATAATGGTCTTTACGGATGGAGAATTTGCTAATAATAAGGACCTTAGTCCACAACTTGGATTTGTATTGATACTTGCTAATGAGGATCAAATCGGATCTAAGACCAAAGTTCGAGGTAACCTTATTCATTGGAGTTCGACGAAGTGTAAAAGAGTCACCCGCAGTGTGCTAGCCTCTGAAATCTACGGAATGGTCAATGGCTTTGACATTGGTCTTGCAATCGCATCTTCTTTAGAGATGATAACCAAACGTCTTAATCTTCCTGAAATGCCTCTAGTTATGTGCACTGATTCTTAATCGTTATACTAATGCCTGGTAAAGTTAGGTACTACCAAGGAGAAACGCCAAATGATTGATATTATGGCGCTTAGACAGTCTTATGAACGAAGGGAGGTTGCGGAGATTCGATGGATCAACAGGGAAGATAACCCCGCCGATGCTTTGACAAAAATGTCACCGAGTCGTGCCCTGGAACGACTCATCGATAATAACGAATTAACGATTCGAATTGAAGGATCAGTAATAAGACCGTAATATTGTTCAGTATGATATGGCAGACGGGGGCTTTCTATTCATTGCTAGTTCATAAAGAAAAGATTGCCAGTGTGGGTTAATAAGCTTGGTCAAACCTCGACGGAGAGAGTATCTGTCATGGCGAGACATTCTGGAACCAGAGTCTAAGCAGAATGCCTGAGGATAAAATTCACGGAACAGGTTTTTCGGCTCACCCTCAACACTTGCACTTATATGGTGAGACTAGATAATGCGCCAACTTGAATTGATATGGTTGAGGTCACAGTTTGAGTCATAATGGGAAATTACAACAGTCTTAGTTGAATTACGTTAGATAGTTATTTGTACTTAAGGAAGCTGGAGCTACTACAAAGTAGTTCTCCAGCTTCACAATCTTATAATATTATTACAGTATTACAGTATTCCTCTTGCAAACCCGCTTCCTTCTAGCCATAGTACTTCGTCGACTTTCCACCTCTATAGTATTCACCACTTGACCTTTTCATACCCTCGGCGAGCGGCGATCTCGATCTACCCTATAGCACGCCGTGACAGTATCTGCCATGACATCATATATTACCACGTGTTCTCATGTGAACGATTCGTCATGTATAACTTATATAGATGATGGAAGACGTAGAAGAGAGAGATAGATATATACATTCAAATAATCAACCTGACATTTGTCGACCCTTGTGATATCATATTGTAAGACCTTCCAACAGTTAGTGTTAAAGATTTAATCTGTCCATAACTCTGAGCTTGATGATGGCCAGCAAGACGAAGAATATCATGACCTGTCATTTAAGATAAAAGGGCATTAATTAGAAGATAGGACCGATATAGTAAGGGGTGATTAGCCCTGAGTAGGTATGGGCATTTTGAATGTAATCAGAAGCATCATCTTATTAAAGAGGAGTCAGGTGCGCGATATATATATATACACGTGTCATATCCCTGTCACTGATTATCGAACCCCGTACTGCAGTAAACACCATCAATCTTTGCTATCCATCGCAATCCTTAGTATCAATATGAGTTACTATTATACAGTATGTTTGTACAGGTCGACATAAATATAGAGATGTTAACAGCTAGCTTTACGTAGCCTAAGCCACAGCATAAAGGAGTGTGCTTCCATCTAGGCATAGAAAACCCCCAATAACCTCCTTGTGCCCACGCCATAAACCCGCTCATGTCTCCGATAGGTAGCCTGAAGCGCTACCATATTACCCATTCCAACCTCTTTAATATACACAAGATCGTGTCGGGGACCTAGACGAAATGGAGGCCCCATACGTCCACAACACTCTGTGTCTCAATTTCCAACACCAACATCTGATCTGATTGTGGTTAGCTTCATGATAATGGTAATAGGGGAATGTGCTTAGGGATGAAGACCATACAGACTGCGAAAGCGATTGGGTAACCTCATCGAAACGAGGACTTTGATACTCAATCTAGGCTCTGCAGGCTCTATAGTGAGAGCTGGAGATTCGTAGGGAACACTACTGACAGGTGTTGAGAAAAGTCCCCCTAACACTGGGTAAAACTCCTAACAGCAGCCTATTAAATTTTAGGATTTAGACTATCCGCGCCATGCCCTCTAGCTGCCAAGATAGAACTTGGTCGCGTTAAAGATATTATCATCGTTAATATTACTGAGTTAAGAGGTTCTGACTCTGATAGGAATGGAATTGGAGTGATCATGAGGTATATCGAGACTTTCGTTGACTAGACAAGTTTATGTAGAAGGCTGGTTTGGGCAATATATGAGTTTAAATCCTAGAATACCTAATTTTTTTATTTTACATAGCTCCCAAAAATCCAGAGGCAAGCCAACACTTCTGCACAAATCAATTTTCAAGCTGCAAGGAAAAATAGTTACTCCTGTACGATCTGCACATCGCCGGTTTTCCTACTTAACCCAAAATCAACTAGTGAAGATTGAAAATGAAAAATGAAAAATAATTAGCGTTATGATAGGTTTAGCGCATGCAAGAGTCTCCTGAATAAAGCACCAAACATAGTATTGAAGTTAATTCCAGAGCCAAAATTGATAAACCTTGAGAAAGAATAACTGCGCCAGGAAAATGCCTGTCAAAGCCTGTGATAGTAATTACCTTCTTCATTATAGAGATAGGAAGAATAGCTTAAGCGAAGCCAAAGTACTCGCTTCCAGCGGTTATAGCTGTGAGGAGTTGTTGGCGAAGAATCTCATAGCTCTCATATTCAGGTATATCAAGTTCTAAATATTCTTAGCGCCAATTAGACATGGATGAGCGGGATACTTACGGTTAAAGCAAGTATGTGAGCTTGGAAGTCTATCTTTATTTCCATAGTCGCGATGTATATTAAATCTGCTGAACCCGTTCATACCCTCTAGTTCTTTAAAGCCATTAAGAGGGACTTTACTTGTACCGGTGACGAATTGGAGCAATTTGGCTCGCTCTTCTTTGTCAAATGATCGGACTGCACGCCAGAACCACTGAATCTGAGCAGAGGAGGTTGAATAATTGTGATACTCTGTATTTCCTTTCCAGTCATCGACATCAATCTCAGGTAAGCCTGAAATCAACAGTTCGAGTTCCTGCTCATTGAATATGGCAACGAGATCTGCTGGAATAATATCATGGAATCCTAGATTTGTTAGCTAACCGACATTTTATGATTTTACCGACTTACCTTTAAGAAATTCATCTAATTGTTCTTTTACAGAGCCAGTTAGTTTCCATTCAACCATCAGGCGAACATATTCATGCTTATTTTCCTCAGTTACAGGGATATTACGACCGTTTGGAATGAAATCTATAGTCTCATTTACACCAAACTTGTCGTTATCAACAGAGAAGGTCTCAGTGATTATATCAGTAATATCATTCTCAAGCATCCAAACAAGGGATTTGTAGTAATCAGGATCGAGAGATTCCATATCTTTCACAGATACAGACTTTCCGAGGATTCTCTTGTAGACGGCACGTGAGAAATGACAGTCTAAAACACGACCTTCGTAAAGCGCCTTTCCAATGATACGGCCGATGAACTTGAAAAACATGAGGTGCTCCTCATTAACACTGCTGAGTTGGTTGGGATGGAAGGTGGTGCGATCAGAAGAAACTGGAATAAACAGAGCATATCCTGGATCGAACATTTGTCTGGAGAGAACCTGGAACCATTCACGAGTGACTCCACCTGCATCAACACCTTCCTCGCCGTGAAAACGAATACTAAGCTTGCCATATTTCATTTGATCACCACTTTGAAAATATAGCGATTTGAATGAGTCATGAAATACTAAGTCACGTCGTACAGAGAGTTGTAGAGGAGGGAATGTTTCCCGGACGTTTGAAGCCTTTGCATGAATGCTCCTATTGAAATAATTGCGCTTGTTATCGAATTCGAGAACCTTTGGATTCTTCACTAAAAGAGAAAAAGTGCCAGACATCAATTTTGGAGTATTGCGGACGAGGTCATTCAAAATTTTGCGATGTTCTTCGGTGAAAGTAAAAAAAAGATTTTCCATGCGGGAATCAGGAGCAGGACTAGTCAAAACCAGCTCTCTAACTAGTTGAGTTTTAGAAGAGCTTGAATCTTTGAGCGTTGTGTTTTTACAAACAACCATTAAAGCCTCTATCAATGGAAGCAGGATAGTAGCAATATTAAGCATATGTTCGCGTTGCCGAATAGCATTCAAACAGGTACTCAACATATACCACATTCTACCAAACGTTGAGTTCTCATAAAGAGATGCGAGCAGATCTTGCTTTACAACTAGCTGGGATGATTCATGCTCTGTTTGTGTCTTATCAGTCTTATCTCTCTTTTCTCTCTTTGGATCAAAAAGATGATCTAAAGCTGTTAGAACCCGAAGAAGTTTGTTCTGGTCAGAACCGCCTGGTGAAAATTTTGCAAGTGCAACGCCCTGAATTTCTGTACCAGTAGTGGCCTTTTCAATTTTAGGAAGAAGTTCTTCTAGGTCAATGAGTATAATTTCACCGAGAGATTGTGCTTTAGCTATTAGTTCGCGTCCAAAGACAGTCTTTGCGTCAGGTATCGCTGAAAGATTTTTGATTGTGGAAAGAGTCTCCCTAAATGTCTTTGATGAGCACTCACGAGCGACGAAGATATTGATGACTAATTGGAGGTTGTACTCTGGAATAACTGGTGGTGTGATGGGACGTTGTTTCTTTTCCGCATCTTTCTGATGATCAGACTTAGATTTAAGTTCATCAACGGGTACAGTAGCATCCCCGCCCGGAGGAAGATTGGCATTAGCCTGTATGATAGAGCCTTGACTGGTATTTACTGTATCGTTAATACTCACTTCGATAGAAGCCGTTGGAGCCTGGTCATTATTTGCAAGTATTTCTGGTGAATTTATAGATCTGGTAGTACCATTTAGAGATGGGGTTGCCTCGGGTACCAAGTCACCAGCTTCTTTTTGTTTACGCTGGAGAACCTGGAGGGGTGAGGTTATCATATTTAGGAGAGTGGACAGCGATTCCATTACAGAGGAGCTCTCCATGATTTGCTCTCGATCAAGAAGACCTAGTAACGAGTTTATTGCATACTTGGATGCCTTATTCTCTTTACCTTTACCTTTGCGGCTTATGGAACGCTTAAGACCTCCAACCACATCGTGCTCAATTAAGAAGAAAGCCGGTATGTGTTGATTGAATTGGCTCAGGAAAACAAGCGTAGAGAGACACTGCGAGACGACCATAAGAGGAGATGCCTCGAAATTGGCTTGAGTTACTGAATTGGTACCAGTATGTGTTCGCTTCAGCGGCTGTACTAACTTCGGCTGAACATCTTTGGGTTGTTTGGCTCTTAACGAGAGTTGAGCAAAGCTACGTTCGACTGCCATCATATCGATGCTTCCATCCTGAAGAATGTGAAGTATGGAGCCGAGAAGCTCCTGACGATTCATTCTATTCATCGTCACGTTTTGCAGGACAGCGTTTAAAGTACTTCGAAGACTACCATGTTGAAATATGAACATCAGTCGGAGGAGAGTTGCAATACCAGGCTTATCTAGCATTTGAACCATAGGTCGACGTGCTGGTCTGTGCGTATTCGGTTCGGGGGTCTCAACAATATAAGGTGGAAAGCCAGCGGCTGCACGGCGTAAAACAGAGTTGTTAGGAAGTCTCATATGTCCAGAATGATCTCTGAGCGCGGCACGAGCCTGATTTGCTAGCTCAGGTGGCAAGAGAGCAAGCGTCGCATCATCTTGTTCCATAAGGATTTGGTTCCGGAATGCTGGATCCAGAGTAGCTAGAATCGTAGCGGCGTCCATATCTCCCACGGCGGTCCCTCCATTCGCTGCAGTAGCTTGACGATTACGCTCTTCTCGTTCACGGCGACGTCTATCTTGTCGCTCTTGCTGAATTATCTCGTCCCTTATATCATCTGGCAAGGCGTTTAAAAATTCTTCGTCGATATCTGAAGGCTGGGCACCCGTAGCGGCGGCTTGGGATCGACGCTCAGCTACCGCAGACATAATGACTTCCTCTCGTATTTCTTCTGGTAGTTCAGCTAGAAAATCTGCGTCAATACCTAAATCTGTTATGTCGAATGTTGTTCCCCGAATCACTGTCGTAACTCTAGGTCGTTCCTCGGATGGAATATCGGTAGCAGGGTTCACATTTTCAGATGCTTCAATCTCTACGCCATCCATAGAATCTGGAGCAGTTTGCGGAATTTCAGGTTGTGCTTCGGACTCTAAATCTCGTGCCGTATGCACTTGCGCTGCAGTTCTCTCAACTTCTCTCTCTTCTTCTTCTCTCTTTTCTCTAGCAGCCCTTTCGGCATTCTTTAGTTCCGCTGCCATGCGCTCTTCTTCAGCTATTCGTTCAGCTTCCAGCTTTTCTTTTCTAGATTTCTCAAGACGAGCGGCCTCTATTGCCTTATCTGCTTCAATTGCAGGCGGTACAAGTAGATATAGTAGAGTGCCAGATAAATCAGCAGCCCTTTCTATCCAAGAACAGCCGAATAAAATTTTCGATTCTTCAGACCATCTCGCAGCAGTTGACTGTGGTGAGAAAATGGTTGCATTTCCAGGCTCGGGTGCAGGTCTTCTTTCTTCAAAACGACTGTGACGGCCACCAAAGAAAGCTTCAAGTTCGGATGGAAGTTGAAGCCCACCTGGACCAGAAGTTGTTATGTGAAACTGGAGGGCCTGACCATTGCGGCCAAAATGTCCTGGTAGAGGTAAAGTTCGAATGACATCTTCCAAAAACTGGGCAGTAGCATGTCCGTCACCAATAGGCCCTCCTCTACTAGCAAACCCAATATCCAGTGCCTCACTGCCTGATGCTCCTCGGATTGCTGGAATTAGTGTTCCAATCAGGGGTGTACGGCCGGTAACTGATCTGCTATCTGAGCGATTTCTTTGAAGTAGAGGATTGACGCCGTCATCAGCTGTTCGTGGAATGGGACCACCAGGTCTATGTGAGCGATATGATATATTGGGAACTAAAGCTACATTAGTTTAGTCAATTAACAATGGCTACTAGAAAACGAGGCTACTAGAAGGAATTACTTACCTGCCAGTGTATCACGTGCATTACCCGCAAAGGAAGGGAATGGGGAAAAGCCGCCACGAGGCCTATGACGAGCAGACATAGATGCTTCAATATCATTTGGCCATCCGAATGAAACATTTCCACCTGTATTTTCCACTTTGTCTTGTTAGCTAAGTTCTGAGGCCTCGATATCCAGACATACTTGGATATTGAATATCGTATATACCGTCTTCATTTTCATCGACGTCATCATCATCTATGTGACATTAGCCCTAGCCGCATGATGGAAAGAGTTACTTTTTAGCATACCATCGTCATCGCCTCCATCACCATATTCAACGGCATGTTCATCATCGTGTTCCTCACCTTCAGCCATACGACCGAGTATTTCTATGGTGGCCGGATCATCGCCGAGAGCTCGAACTAGATGGCCCATCGTTCCAATCCCAATTGTTGTAGGTTGTTCTTGGTCGTCATATTGACCCCCGTAAACATCCCCTTCTTCGTCGTCTTCCTGACCATCGCTTTCCCATTCACCTGCTAGCTCATCGTCGTCGTCAAGTTGCTGTATGTCTTCAAGCTCCTCAATAATTTCGACACGATGATCGTCATCTTCATCATCAATATCGTCAGAGTCCGGCTCATCATCATCATCATCATCATTAGCGCTTGAGTCATCATCGTCGTCATGATCATCCATAATAACTTCAACTTCAACTCCGTGATCGCCAGATAGACCCTCTATTGGACCGATTCCCTCAATTTCATCCTCTTCACTAATGTTGTCTTCATCATCTTCATCCATATCTCCATCGTCATAATCCATTTCATCAACGTACTCATCATAAGGAACACCCATTTCTTCATCTTCATCGTCATCAGACTCAGATTCTGAATCTCCGTTTCCATGTTCGAACATTCCCAAAGTTGAATTTCGGAACAAGTCAGGAGTCTCTTCCCGTTCGTCTTCCTGCTCAGACATAGAAGTGGCTGATTCTATTTCATCTTCGTCACCTTGTCCGGGAGTCGTCGAAATAAGAGAGAGATCACTCAGACTAACAGCCGCAGTGGTCAACGTTTTCAAGGGTCTGAGAATATATTTTACGGCACGTTTAGCGCCAGGAAAGTTGAGATCAATTTCAGCAATCGATGTTGTGAGGGCCGAAATGTATCCTTTCTCGAACATAATGCGTCGAAGTTGTTTCTGAGACGTGGACGCAACGGCCTGATCGGAGGTGACTATATTCTCTTTTCCTTGCATTATATGACTCATCAAGTCAGCAAGCCCAAGCATACGGGAATACTTAGCATCTAGAGGTTCCTGTGATGAGCTTGCTTCCTTAAAGGCTTTCAGAATATTCTCCAGTACAAAGCGACGAACAAAGAGAAGATCGGGCTCAACTTCGCTGCCATAGGGGTCACGGGACTTGTCAATCGGCTGTTCGCTAGTCTTACTCAAGAGAGCAGTAATGACAGAGTCAGCCCATGATGAAGTAACGACTCTCTTTCGCAAAAAAGTACTGTCAGCATGGTCCAAGGTTCCTATCGGAATGAGGTCAAAAAGCAAATAATTAACGACACTTGATCGCGGTTTAGAAGGAGTCATTGCTTGTGGTGGAGCACTACGCTTAAAATTGATAAATTCCACCTTGGTACGATTATAAGAGCTCAGTAACTCCGTAAGACACTGCAAAATAAAACATCGGTAGATATATATGGGGTGCTCTTCTGCTTTAAATTCTAGTTTGGTGGCACCGTTAAATGACTTCTGATCTTTACTCGAGGGTATTGAAGCAAGGTTCGAAGTACCGCCCATAGAGGTGTCTCCATTATCCATTAAATTTTCCTTCTCGACGGAAGACGCAGGAATTAAAGTATTTTCTTTGTCCTCTACATCTCTGTAGTTCATCAACTCGCAGAGTAAGAAATGTATTACACCGTCTGGATTCTCAACGATGGGCAATTTTTGATCGTGTGAAGATTTATTGACATCGGGCATTTCGCTATCAGCAGCTTCCATAGAAGGCTTGAGGTCCTGTATAGATAAGTCTTCGGTTGCTTGAACAGTGGGTAGAACTGTATCGATAGGAGGTATTTGGGGCGCTTCAGTCGAGGTTTCCTTTAACACTAACGTATGATGGCGATTTGGCGGCTCTGAAGTAGGGTAGGGCCAGCGATTAAACTTAACCATCTCGTTAGTAACCTGGACAAACAATTCCGGGTTTCGCAATGCTGTGTGTGCTAAAGCTCTGAGATAGGTCTTCTCATCCATGTTCCGCTGTGAGCGAGAAGGTTCGAGAGAAGCTCTGATCTCCACCTTCATAATTTGCTTGACTGTCTCATTATCTTCGATGATATGTCTTAATATGAGCATCAGAGGGCTCTGAATCCGGGCAGAGCTAGCCCCGGCAAGCTGTTTAGCCATAACGAATAAACGCTGTATATTTTTTTTTTCACCCATGGTCTGGGCCATTTCCCGGCTCCGTGTGAGGATAACTAAGACTCGCAAAACCGATAGAGCCATGGGTTCATCTTTGCCAATACGAGGAAGTATTTCAAGGATTGCCTCGAGGAGCTGTATTCGATCCTCATGTGAAAATGCAATCTCTTTGACTTCTGCTACAGGAATTTCCATGATTGAATTTTCATCCTTCGGTGGTGTCCAACTGGTTTTTTGTGGCTTAGCATCCTCGCTAAGTAACATCTCGATGATTAGGAGTACTTGTGAGATCCATGGTGACGGTTCTTCAAACGTATTTTTAGGGGATAGCTTGATGAATAAAAGAAGTGTGCCGAAGTTTTCTTTTAATTCCCCCACTGCTGCAGAGTAAAATGCCTTGTCCCGCAGAAGTAGCGCTAGAAGATGAGCGTATGCAGCTATTTTTTTGCCACATTTACCAAGATCTTCTTCACCTGCAAAAGACATTAATGCAACAACCAAAGTCTCGCCAATAGCTTTGCGCTGCGTGGAAGGTTCATTTGATTTTCCGACAACAGTCATAATAAGATCAGCTACTTCAAATGTAACCTCACCATGAGCATTTATTATATCAAGGCTTCTGTCGATTAAATTATCGCTAATAATAGCACGTTCCTCGTTTAAGTCATCTATAGTTATTATAGAAGTAATCTGTTCAGCTACTAATGGCTCCTGATGTGTGGTAGTGTGCGGGGATTCTGTATCGTCCTCTGCTTCTTGCTCGGTAATTGGGATGAGGGAGTTCAAGAGTTGATCAAAATTTTCAGAATCGTATTGCTGGGATGTGGCTTCAACTTGGTTAAAATTATCCGTGTTGCTGGAGACCGGAACTTGCTCCATTAGATGGTCAGCTACCGTGACGGATGAATTTTCGGGACTTTTTGCACTGGTTCCCTCTATTATTTGAGGCTGAACAGGAATTTCAATATCATCCTCTGGGATAGGGTTACGACGCCTTAGATCGTCAGTATCTTTCAGATCACGGCAATATTCAAGAGCAGAAGTTATGTTATTGTTACACCTGTAAAGTGCTTCAATCCCCAATACTTCTTCAAAACCTTTGCTGGATAAAGTTGTTAGAAATTCTTGGTTGGCCTTGAAGGTTCTGTGGACTGGCTTCATGGGAGTCGGTGGCTTATCGGACCTTTTTAGTGCATTTGCTTCTGAATCAGCAGTTGCAATTGTACGGATCACACAGATAAGTTTTTCTGAAATTTGACTGGATCCATTGACGAACATATCAGAGGACCATAAGTGCCGGATTGTGGGTAGTACCATCGCCCTCATCTCAACGAGGAACTGTGAAGCAGAAAATTGTTCCAGCCCCCTTCGGTCCCTCTCAGCTCTACAGATCAAAGCGGTTGTTTGGGTCGCCTCGATGAAATTTTTGCCGTTAACTAGATGACCATACAGGCTCAGAATACTTGTGATTCCTGACGTTGCAAGTTCTAGACGTAGAGAATTCTCTGAGTCTTCTGTTGAAGATTTCTTCCTGCATATCTCGGTGGCAAATACTTCTAAGATTTGGTTTAACTTCTGAAATCCCTTGCAATTTTTAAAAGCCTGGACAACAACAGTGATTGTCTGAACAGGACGATCACTTTGACGAGATGACTCCATAAGTAACTCATGTATAACAGCAATCATACCAAGCCAATTTGTATATATATCCGCTGATACAGGATCTTTGCCAATCTTCAACTGTTCTAGCACGGTGGCTGCCAAGGTCTCGGCAATGGAAAAGTGACACTGCTTCTGGAATACATCTAATGTACGTTTCGGCAATAATGCTCGTCCCAAGGTCTGGAAAAATGGAGATATTATTCGAGGAAGTTTCTTAAGGAGGAACCGAAGGGTTACATAATTTTTAAACTCTGGACCATCTTTTTCGTGCTCACTCGCGCTACTGATATCCTTATTATCTTCTTTGGCATTTCCAGGTAATAGTTTTGAGGAGGAACTTGTATCTAGAGAGCTTTGTGTAATAAAGGAGTTTGCTTCATTTAAATGTTCGCTTGGGACGTTTGTGCTAGGCATTACACTATTTGTTATAGCTTCACCAGAGGAGCCCTTAGGCCGCATTGCATCCTTCCAATGGTCAGGTACTAATTTCCGGAGCTTAATATCTTCACTTAGGGATGAGCTCAATAAAGGACCAAGGCTTCGAATAAGTTTATTGTAACAATCCGCCACATTGATTTGATTGAAAATGTTGGGGCTATTTCGATGGTTGTATTGAGATGGCTGAAGGCATGTTGGAATGGTGGAGAGTAAAGAATGTATTGAGACCAAAGCTTTGGCGTACTCAGTACCTTTCAAGAGAAATTCTGTATCAGCTGAGTCTCGAGCATCAGAATTTACAAATGGGGCGAAAAATGATCTTTGATCGTCATGTAAGGCGAATGGACGCAGTTTTTCTGTTGCGTCTGTTGCTCGCTTTAGTAGGGAAGGAATTGTTAAATACGGCTTTGATTCTGCGAGCATTGATACAACTTGATGAACGGTTAGGCTGAGTGCACTGTCCCAGAAATCATACTCTAAACTTGTCGACTGAGATAGATTGACAACATATTCAATGCCACCAGCGCTACAAAACTCTGCACATATCGGATTATTTGCCAAAATAGCGGATAGAAAATTGAAGGTAGCACATATATATGGGGTCATGCTCGTTTCTGATGTAGCAGATGCACCTGGTATCTCTGAAGCTGAAGGCCTTTTTGATTCAGCTTCTGCGTCCCGCATTTCTACATCCGTACCCCCACACGAATTACCCTGGTGACTCTCCGTGATTGGCAGAAATGGTGGCTGACCTTGATGAGTTGCAGTATCGAGATTTGCTTCCTCTTTAGAAATCAAGAGCTTGGCTCCAGCTATATTATTTTTAGACTTTGACGAGCATAGATACTCTACACGTGCAACCATATTTAGAATTGCTGTCACGATAGAAGTTCTCAAAGATGGATGATGACGAGCAAGCTCGTCAAATGATGATCCCAATGTTGCAGGTAGTTCTTTATGAATGTCCATACATTTGACATGTTCCGGGCTTTCAAAAATTTCGAAAAATGTTTCAAGAGCCTTGGAAGCTTGAAACATTTTCATACCAGTGGTGTTGAGACAAATAGCACTAAAGGCCTGAGGAACGATATTGATTGTTTCCGATGTAGGCAATATTCCTTTCGCCAATGGTTCACCACGGGGAGCTTGGAGCACATTGATGGATAAACGCTCAACACAAGGGGCCTCCTCATCACTATCATCATCGTTAGGTGCTGCTGGTGAACTACCATCCATAGCTGAACTAGCCATCTCAGTTTGGTTTTCGCCTATTTTTGTTTCCTCGGGCATGAGTATTGTCTTGCATGTCACTGCTTCAAGAAGCCCACGACTTAGCCCTGCCTCGGCAATGACAGCGAAACTAGTTGGCTCATTGTTGATAAAATCATTTAATATCGTGACAGCATTTGTCCACACCACTGAGCCGAAACAACAGGCATTTCCTATTATCTGTCGAAGACTTGCGAGCAGTGGAGGCGAGTCAATAAGATTCCTTAGCAAACGATCAAAGTTACCTCCAAATCCACCAGTAGCAGTCATTAAATGATGGATAAATTTGAAGAGCCATTTTAGTGTCTGTTGCTGATAAAATGGAATCTCGTAATCAACAATTGACGACCTGAATTCAGTTTGAGTCTTCAAGTCCGAGCTTGCATTCTCAGCAGCAGTCCTTACTTCATGAACAATAAGGCTCGAGATTGCATCGAGGCCATCAGAGTTAACTAGAGTTTGGAATGCATCTCTAGTATTATACATGATGGTATCCAGGAAGGTAAGAACAGTAGGATAATACCGCTCCGCAATATTCGTTCTCTTGTTTAGAATATCAACCAATATCTGAATCAGCCCAGCGCTAACTAGCTCTGCCGCAGTTCGACCTGTGATAGAGATACCCGAGAGTAAAGAAAGCAAAGAATCTCGCCACTCATCATCAATAGTTATCTGATCGCCACTATCATTGGAATCCATTTCGGCAACTGCTTTTCTGATTACATAGAGCAAAACACCATGGTTTACATTTGTGTTAAGAGCAGCGCATACATCTGATAACTTACTCTGCTGCCCTTGAAGTGCGTCGAGTGCAGAAAATGCCAGGGCTTGAAGGGTTCTTGGTACAATCACCTCACCGTCCACTGAAGGATGGGTGAGTTCAGCAAGTTGTGATACTAGTTGTAGCCGTCGAGGTTCTTCATTATCCTGTTTCAAAACTAATTCTTGAAATGGGCCCTCAACGTAAATATAGGCAAGATTTGTTATTGCCAATAGCCTAATGGCTAGAATTTGGCGGCGTGTTTCAAGAGATCCAGTTAGCGCTCGTGCTGTACGAAGTTTTGCCAAGAGTTCGTACTGGAGATCCGGTGGAAGGCCATTTAAGTTTTCGCGTAATATGGTATGGATGTCCGTAGATTTAAGCTTTGCATAATTGATTTCTATCACCTTGAAGCTCTGACGTGTAGCTTCATCGTTAGATTGATTGACTTGTGTGCTAGACGAGCCACCCGTTGGTAAATCTGCGCCAACTTGTTTACTAGACCGTTGACCACGCGGGCCTAAGTTTGAAAAGCGACGAACAGGAGATGGAGTTGTAAGTAAGAGTGATGAGTTAGAGTTTTGAGGAATGTTATTGGAAACTTCACATTCGGGTTTTAGTTTAGGATAGAATATAATTTTAACGTCTCCCCATTCGTTCCAGGAAGTTTCTGATGATAACGATGCTCCTTTCTCAATTTCAGGCCAGGTGTTTTTCGGAATGCATGAAAATCCGTGCCCACCTTTCACAATTGACACGAGGTCGTTGGCATAAACTGTTGTTGAAGTACCTTTTTGAGATGTATTTGGAGTAGCTGAAGCTTTTTCTTTTCCCTTTAATCCTGGAGTTGCGGGAGTGTTTTGCGGTACTAAGTCGATAGGACTGCTTACAGTTTTGGAGAACGGTGTTGCCATTTGCGTTACTCTTTCAAGCGAGATATTATAATGGCTTTGCAATAGTGGGCTATTTATATGTCGTGTCTGTATAGATAATCTTTTGGTTGCAGCCTGATATCTTTTGGCTAGTTCCGAGCCCAACGAAAGAGTAAATTCGAGAAGAGAAAGCGATGTGGTATTGAGTAGACTATTTAAGTGAGCACTGCTAGCATATATGCTACGATTTCCACAATTTTGTAGAAGAACTCTTGAAAAATGCAATATCGATTCAATCAACAGTCTGTCCGCGTCTTGAGTTTTCGTATATTTTATGCTTAACCCTTCAGTTTCGAGAAGAATTGTTCCAAAATCAGTTGTTTGTGGCCCTTCATCTAATTTGTACATCTTGCAAAATTGTTCCAGGATACTGTCAAACCGGTTTAAAAGAGTGATCCAGTGGTACAAATCACCCCTTGGAAAGGGCCATCTAGTAGGAAAAGTGGAAAGGAATTCTGTTAACTCGGAAAGTTGAACACAACAGGCGCGATCACGAAAATTTCTTGCCCATGAAGACTAGGACAAAATTAGTTAAAAAAACTTCATGACTTCCGGTACAAACCAATGATTCTGCATGTTTCGGCTGCATGGTTTTTGCTATTCGGACCATGATGGCTACGGAAGCGGTGATTCAATCGATTACTCTACTTTGAGCCCCCCTCCCACAGCCTCAGAAGATTCCCAAGGTATTGACAGCTTGCCAGATATATTAAGGAGTGTCCTAGGCAGGACCACTCCGGGACTTGAAGACTTTTTGCACCTCTACTTCTAGTGCTGAGAAGATTTATCGACTGAAGATTTGTCTTGCCGCCGATAAAAGACCTTAAGACAGTTTGTTGAGAGATAATGTGAATCGTATTTTCAACTTATTCCAGTGTTTGGTGGTTCAGATGGAAGGTTGAGGGTTTAAAGAGAAGTTTTGTTGAAATGGAGGATGAAAAGTGAATGGTTTTCAGGTGAGCAGATAATAGTTTGTAGAGAAAAGAGCGTACCGAAGGAAACGGTGCAGGCGTTCCTCGAGCTTTTTTCCACAGTTGTTTCGAATACAGGCAGCAGTCTACCACTACAGAATTTCACAGATTTAGAATTGAGTTATGAACGTGGTTAGGTTGAAGAGTAATGGGGTTTGTGCCTGGGAAGAACTGAGATGATTCATACGGCGTATTCCTTCGGATCCGTACAAACTTCACGCGCTTTCGGCACGACCTCGCTAACGTCACGGGTGGAAAGTACTCGTCCCTACTGTCTGTCCACGTGCATACTGCGGCTATGCAAATTTCGCTTTGTCAGCACCCAATAGTATAGGCTGAGTAAAACGCATGACTGGCCTGTGTCAATGTATGTTGATGTAAGTCCGTATCCTTTGCTCATTGACTAGCACATTTAGCGCTTTGTTAGAAACTCAGCTTCGAATGTGCTTTTCACATGTCTGGGATTTTGGTGCAGATTTTGAGGCTAAATTACTAGAATAAATTGAAATATTAAAATTAAAATTAAATGCGACAAACTCCCGGAAGGGGTGACATCCCCATATCACCAGTAACATGAAGCTAACCACGATCAGATCAGATGATAAGGCCGAAGTCCTACTTATCACCAAATCTTGATCATGGAGGAAAGGCCATCCGATGAGTTTCTGGAGCGTATCCAGCACCTGATACGGAGATGGTGGATTGGATCAAGTCTGCCTCAACTGTTACAAAGAAGGGAGATATAGATGAATATGCGCACCTCATGTGGTCCCGGTGTCTAGGCCTCGCCTGGCTGGGGCTGCAGGATTTTTGAGACATTTTCCCACCCACGAAGTTTCCGTTGCTAATATTTTTCTTCCTATGGTTAGATGGTTTCATGGAAATGGTGGCCGAATTACACGGGTAAATACTGAGCTAAACGGCTATTCATCGCGGGCAATAAATCAATAATCTTTGAAGTAACAAAAAAGGATAGGAGCACTGTAGATTAAATTTTTATTATAGTCCCTACTGAGTCTAAGACTATGGAGGGTAAGAGCACTGTAAAATGTGTGGCCTGGGTCAGAGAGAGGCCCTACATGTTGAATAGTCTTTGACTCTAGTCTTATGAATACAACTCTCTCTCCCCCACACGATGAATTCAGTGGATGATTTAACACTGTTATCTGTTTAAGGAAAGATACATCGTCTCATCAAAAGAGATGAGAAGATGTGGATCAATGAAATGACGAAGCATGAAGCTTCTCTGTTTCGCTTAATGAGGATGGAATACGAGTGCAGGCGACAGTATAAACATCGCCATGGTTGGATGGTGCGGTGGTACATCGTCTTGGCTGGTCTGCCAAGTAGAGTCTGCATAGCTTGGACACATATCCCACTCGAGACAGTTGATCGCTGGTTCATATCCAGCAAAACACAACCACTTTTCTCGCGGCGCTGGTATGCATGGATGACGAAGGCATGCTTGGATAATCAAAGGTTTTGAAATTCCCTTTGGTCGGTACTTACGGAGGAGGGTCGACTGTTTGTGTAAGCGAACATACCTCATAGTGGTATTTCCAAATGAAATCCAGAGTATGAGTGTCTCTAACGTCAAAAGAGTCATCCAACATGTATATATAGCACCGGTCATGTATCACAGCTAGATAGCTAAATACACATTAAATGATTCTAAAAAAAATAAAAGAGGATAGAAGACGGTCCACACACTGCTTGTAAGCCATTCACCTAACGATTGGTGTTGCCTCAGAGCTACCCGACGTGCAGGACAAGTGTTAGGCCACACCCCTTTTTCTCACCCTTGTTAGGCATATTGACTAGAATTATTTTGCACAATTATTCGCGATTTTTCCTTAGTATTACGACAAGGTGCCCCCACCAAGAGATGTAAAAGTCTTTCGACATGCATACCCCCGCTATAGTTGTCCCTCGTGCAGCCAAAGGTGCGAGGCGCCGCTCATCTCTTCAAACTATTAATAATGATTGTATCAAGAAAGCTGTAGCTGAGATCGAACAAGTTCCGTCTGAACAAATGTATATAAACTCAGAAGATGATTTTATGGATCCAGAGCTTGAAAACGACTGTCCTCCCAACCCATACTCCGCAAACCATGCCTCACTCTCACTCCACTTCCCACAGTGGTAACATCCTCTACAAGCCTCTCCAAGCAAAAGACCCTGAAAAAACACCCTATCCAGGACCTTTCTAGATTTATCTACGCGGCCGGAAAAGGTAACGCTGCAATTAGACGGAAGTGACTTTAAGTCTTCTTCAATCCAGCGCGCGATGATGGAGGTATGTCTGGATAACTCAAGGGTTTTGAAATGTTCCCCTGGGTGGGTATTCACGGATGAGAGTTGACTTGGGGCGAACAAAAAGCCGCCACAACTTGGCAGTGATACTTGCAAACGAAATCCGAGGCATGAGTGCTCTTCTCTTATGTTGAATCATCTTGTGAAGGGACTTCACATTTGTTGTTCACAATGATGGGTCCAAAAATAAATTTATATTTTATCTAAGGAGGAGAATTTACACAACGCGCGCAAGATGTTTTGTTACAATCGAGCGCGTTTTCCCGTGACACTAGCGCGCTTTTGTTCATAGACGGAGCCGGATAGTTCCGGATCCACATACAAGGCTACAGCCTGTAACACATCTATTCTGTACCTTTCTTTGATACTGTGTCATAGCTAGATAGCTGCATACGCAATTATTATCTGATGCAAAAAAAAACAAAAAAAAAAGAATTGTTCTATGTAATTGCGGTATTCAGGTTGTCGTTAGGACACTAACAGGGATCTGACTTAGCTCACTAGCGAGGCGCTTGGAGTATAGGAAGAAAGGGAAGATGGAGAGGAGAAGAAGAGACAACGTTTTATGAATTTCCAGATATCAGTTAATTGACATTATTCACCGACTTCGTGAGGCACCCAATTTGTATTACTTCGTGTTTTACCAACAGGCTACAAGAAACTCGATACTTTACATAGATATGCCCACAAACCACCTTGGAGATTCCAGGGAAGCCTAAAGCGAGCTAGCTAAAGAAGAAACACAAGTAACTTAATGGAACAACAAAAATATTTTTTTCGGAAGTGAAGGTCAACAGGGAATAGCACCGAGCAACCATTTCATCAACGCACACAAGAGCTTAGTAATCTGTGGGAAGTAGCTATGTGAATGCACTTTCTATGTAAATAAGGTCTTGTATTGGATTTTATTCCTCTTCTTTAAAATATTTACAAGTCCAGGGATTAGACCCTGGCGTCTTTTGTCTCAGTATGAACTTAATAGGGCCGTGTGCTTGACGCATGGCTCGCCAGACGTAAAATAAAGATCATCATCTCAGTAGGTTAGGCAGACATCATCTTCTATATTCAAAGCGATCCACTCACCCGCAAACATTTATCCCATACACGCTTATTAGTACCTTTATCCCCGTATCCAACTCCGTTAAATTATGCAGCATCATGGCTGCGCGCAACCAGCCGTCGTCCTTGGCGTCAATCGACCCAGGCGACCATTCATACCCGAGCCTTTTTGGGATTGCTGCCGCCATGGAGCAATCAAAAAGCCAAAGAAGGCAGCGAACGAGCCTAGCTCAGGATTTCCTGCAAAACATCGACGCCTTCGCAAAATCCAAGGCAGAAACCGAAGTCGCGTCCTTAAATGCACCTTTAATTGAAAATATTTCACTCATCGTGGCAGCGTTTGCGAAAGGTAACGCCAATGCCGCGATTCCACAAAGCAAGAACCCATCTCCGGCAAGTATACAGTAAAACCCTCTGTACCTAGGGCGACAAAACCCTCCGCGAAACCTCTCCATGAGCTTCCAAGAAAGTCCAAGGAGACTGCTTCTTCGTGGGCCACAGTAGCCCAGACCCGCCAGCTAATCTGGTAAACCTAAGACTGGTTGTACAAACAATACCAGCTAGACAAGAGTCATCGAAGGAAGATAAAAGACTCTTCCTTCGTAAGGGGTGACAACATTAGTAACGGACGTTATCTCCTGTCACAATGAAGCAGCTCATCACTGAAAAGTCTGGAGTCGCACCTTCAGCAATAATAGGGATGACGCAAGTTAGATCAGGCCTAGCAATGGAGTGTGCATCCGACGCACTTAGGGAATTAATTCTGGGTGTTGGTCCCTCACTTCAAAATGAAGAAATCACAATTGAGCCCACTTCAGATTGGACGTCCATCATGGTCCACAATATCCCAATCCGCATCCGTACGTTAGACAAAAGGATCAAAGTAACTAGTGAAATGGTGAAGCCGGAGTGCCAGGCAGTCTGGAGTCATACTAATACAGGTGCGCCAAAGTGATACAAAATTAGGACAGTATTCCACTAGTTGGATCGTACACTTTAAACAGGTACCAGCCAACCCAAGTTTTAGACTATTCGACGAGAGTGGGCCTACCATTTCATTTTCTTGTCGACGCCCCATTGAAAAATGTCAAGGCTGCTGGGGCTACCACTCAACAAGAAACTGTGTCAAAAGTCAGCGGTGTGCCAAATGTTTTGGTACGCACAAATTAGCTGAGTGCATGGTGAACATCCCCAAATGTTCAAACTGTGCTGGGCCGCACGAATCAACCCACTTAAGCTGCATGGCTCGAACAAGGCGACATCACGG